TAGAATTTTTACGCCGATTAGTGACTATGAGAATCCCATGGTAGGATGGTTTAAATGGTTAACGAGAAGTATCACGTCGAACAAAATGTGTGACGTATTTCGTAAAACCAAGTGAATGGAGATGTCAGTTGCGCAGCGACGAGCAACAGCAGGTTTAGACGAACGCGCCTCACTAAGAGGCCTGGTCAGGAAAGACGTCCTGTCTATAGTGGGTGTGATAGTCTGGCGTGAACGGGACTCAATACGAAGTGGAGGAACATTTCGGCAGATGAGTTCTGCATAAGTGCATCTAGCATCAGCTTTATGCTAAAAAATAAAAAGTATTACCTCGCTTCACTAAGGTATGTCTTTGGTCGATGAGAATTTTCTATCGTTTGTTTGCAGATGATAGGCTGTCGTCTTACAACCAAGTGCAAGCTAAAAATACGGCTCAGATGTAAAATAGACTATGCCCAAGTTGCCCATACGGTCGGTTATTTTGAAAAATCGATCATGTACATTTCGGTGACTACAAAAGCCACTGTCTCCGGAGTATTACCTTCAACAGGTACTGCTTCTGGTCGTCTTGTGAAATAATCCGTCCAGGTGAAAAGATAACCGTACCCACTTTCATTTGCCTGGTGATTTTACAATTTTGACAGGCTACGTATCATCGAGCTCGGATAAAATAGTCTGAATAACTTATTGGGTGCTTGGCACCGGCTTGTTCTCAGCCACATAGAGTTTGCTTGACTAGCATGTACATCACGTAAAATCGTCTGCTTACTGGCTCCCACTGCACGAAGTTGCAACCTCAGAGTTTCGGACAACATTTCTTGTTTTACTGAGGAATCTGCTTGTTGGAGGCGAGCCAACTCACCAGGACTAAGACCTTCAACAACCTTCATGGAAAGTGTTTGAGACGAAAAGCCAGCAGAGAAGGTATTTCCTGAGTATATGTGGCTGACATTTGTAGTTAACTGGAAAATGTAGCCCAACCGTCGCTACCCAAGTGCGGCGTACTTATCCGCTGCTGGACAAAGAGAAAAAGCAAGCGTTCTATGCTCTGTGGAGTGGATGAAATCGTGACTGCCGAGAGAATATCTAGAGTTGCTCTCCAAATAGTATATAGCCAAGAGCTCCCTGCAGGATTTGTTGTGCCTTGCTTTTACTTCCTGCAGCTACTGGCGGCCACAACTGGCTTACAGCCAACTGCTGCAGAACTGCCCCGATTGTTCATTCGGCTGTGTTAGCAGCGATGAAAAAAAGACATGTTTGGACCGTGATGCATGAACGTAGTTGCACCTGAGATGACCGACTCCACCTTGGGGAACGTAAGTTTAGTTAGTTCCCAGGCTCATGAGATTTACATTCCTGTGAGGTAGGTCTCTCAGTAGTCCCCTAAAATGTGTGTGGTTTAGAACAATCCCTCGGCCGTAACACGCTGCATCACTGAGAGTGTAAAGCCACTTTAAATTAGTGGGTTCGCAGCAGCCCAGAATGACCACCAATTTACCTATCAACGTGCGTTTGCATTTGGTTAAATAGTATGCTAGAGAAAACTGGGCTATTCGATTTCCCCCTGACATTTCCGGCAGGAACGCACATCTCGGACACCAATGCCAGCTACTCTCAACAAGTGATGACCCTGAGGCACCATTCATCTTCAACCCTAGCGTTTAGTGGTTGGTTAACTTGTCGGTATTTGCAGCGAGATATTAATGTAGACGTTGACAAAATTCAAACCACAGTGGACTACGACAAAGAGTGACGGAGTTTCATGTAGCATTCCCAAGAACGAAAAGGATACGCAGAACTTCAAGCGCCCTAGTAGGTGCTTTCAAGATGTCCTCACTGGCGTTAGCATAAGATTGCACGCTTTGACTGGGTCAGTCGTGGAAAACATTTTGATTTCGAATCAATTATCCGCCGGGTCCCAGATATGAGGTACCGGGTAGTAGTTAGGCGTTGTTTTGGCACTAGACCACTGATAATCACCGGTCAGGAGCCGGTTTTTATCGCCACACGCAGTGGCTGTTCTGCAGAGGTATTCTATGACTGGATGTAGCCGAGTTCAAGCATAAGGTCGACCCCATTCTTCACCATTCTCAGCTTATCACGAGATTGATAACGCGCTTCGGGCTCCATGGATTATCCTGTGGTTGTGATGCAATGTATAACTCTGCCGTTTATCCGTACTAGGGCATGAGTCAGTTGTCTTTGCCTCGGATACATACATGGTATAGTTGGATAGGACAAGTCGGCTTGGGACTTCATCTCTGTAATACCTACACACAGGCTTAGGCAGGCAATCCTGCTTCTAGATAAGTGGGTGTTGCTATCTGTCAGTCGGATCCAACAGGTGTCTACTATTAGGTCGTGGTGGTTAATTAATCTGTACCAGTAGAGCACACAGACAGAAGAAAATCTGGTGGATACGTTTGCGCATAACCAGGTTAAAATATTCCCACCTCTCTCCGACTCTCACAATAGGTTTTCCACTGCCTACATGGAGACTGGAGAACTGGTCATGAAGACGTTCATTTCTGGTTGTTGGTGGAACTCAAACGCCTACGCCTGTGTCAACAAGACAAGGAAATTTCCTCCTTGTGTCTCCGACCTAAGGCAAACGGCTGCTTAGGGAATCAACGCCCGCTTGCAGAAGCTGACATGACGTCTCAGCAAATGTCCATCAGCGAATCTCACGGACGCAGAGGCCAAACACCGATTATTCGTACTCGTTATATACCCACGGATATGAGACAAGGGGAGAACACAGTAGAGTGGTTGGATGGAATAACATATTTGTGAGGTCATGACAAGATGCTGATGCTCTCCAACTAACTGACTAGAGCGTCGATTATGAGCAGTTTGACGTAACGTGGCAATGTGCCAAATGGCGCCGATGCTTGACCGTATGCCTTCAGCTTGACGGGTCTGATAAAACTTTTAAGCGCACCATCACTGTTGAAACTCTTCGTAAACTGGGCCGCTGGGTCTGGGGAAATATGTCACCTTGCAATCTCTTATTTTCTTAAATAGCTACGGTCTCTGTGTCTTGGTGCGGCGCCTTCTTGTTGGACATAAAACCAAGTCGTCCCGGGAAACTCATTTGCTTAGAGTGGGGAAAGAAATGGAACTAAGAAAATACTTTATGGCACTTTAATGCAATAATTATTCAGCACCCGAAATGACACTTCTGGCAATAAATCATATCGCCTGTTCACTCTGTTTGGAAGTGATTGTCTAAAATCACACCAAACATGTGTCTAAATCTTTTCGAAATTACAAGTATAGAAATCCGTTTCTAGAACAAAAATGTTGGCTAGTGAATTTTTCTAAAGGGAAATAATCTTTCCACGACTCTATTTGACGTATGCAAGGGAAGAATAAATCATATTAGCACTAGAAATTTTGGTTACCCTCTGATTGGAAACGAGTGGCTGTCATCCCAATTTATAAAGGTAGAAACAAACTACTCTCCTGCAACTATAGACCAATCTCCCTGATCTCTACAGTTGCGGAGGTCATGGGGAGAGTCACAAGTGACTCACTTCGTGAGCACTTACTTCAGAAATCAATCCTAAACGACTGTCGGCATGGCTTTTTACGAGGAAGGTCATGTAACACCAACTTGTTGATAGCTTGGAATATCTGGACAGTCTGTTGAGAAAAAATAGCCTACATACACTGGTTTTCTTGACTTTCTAAGGCCTTTGACGGGGTAAATCATGATATCTTTTGTAAGAAACTCCAGTTCATGGGTGTACGCTGAAAATCATTAGTCTGGCTTAGAGATTGTCTGTACACCAGGATGCAGTCAGTTAGAGTTGGCTGCTCTCTATCTGACTGGTTCCCGATGCTGAGTGGTGTGACTCAAGGTTCCAAACTGGGCCCGCTACTGTTTCTTGCTTTTATCAATGATCTTCCAGGGGGCCCTGATTCACATTCACTATTATATGCCGATGATCTGAAGATTTGGAGGGAAATACAGAAACCAACGGATATTTCGATCTTCCAGGAGGACCTAACGAAAGTCCTTAATCGGACTACAGAAAACCTGCTTCATCTAAACTCGAAGAAGTGTCGAATTATGATAGTTGACAAACATAAAGACAGTCCCAGTCCTTAATCTCTAGGTGAAATAAATATCTGTCACTCTAACATGGAACAAGATCTGGAAGTTGCACTGAATGATACACTAGGAGCCCCTATTCACTCTCGTCTTGCAGCCAATAGGACTTAAGGAATCTTGGGGTTTCTCTCGCGAACCTTAGGGTGTCTGACTCCTCTTTTCACCACAGTGTATGCTCTGTACATTCGTCCTCATTTAAAAAAAATTCGCTTGTAATGTCCCCATACTTGAAAAGGGACATAGCCATCCTAGAACGGGTACAAGGAAGAGCTACAAAGAAAGTGATTGGGTTACGGCACAAACCGTACCCAGACCGCTTAGTTGCTCTTCAGCTGCACCAAGTACAACACCGGAGGATCAGAGGGGATATGATCAAGATGTACCACATCGCCCATAATCCTCTCTATCCCAACAGATCTCTTCTAAGCTTTAGTCGGAAAAGCGACTTGAGGGGTCACCCGTTAAGAATAGAACATGAGAGAGCACGTACAAAGATCCGTGCTAGCTCATTTGCAGTTAGAGTCTGTAAACTGTGGAATTCCCTCCCTTCAGCAGTTGTTACAGTCCCATCCCCTGATACCTTTAAAAGGAGGCTAGACGCACACCTCGACTCCTGCGGTACCGATGGGTTATACTCGAGAAGCTTCCCTTAGATCAGATGCAGTAATACTAACTTGAGACCAGATCAATTAATCAGTCGTATCTCTATCTTTTCAGGTTTTTCAGAACCAGGAAGATAATTGTGACCATTCCAAAGTCAGAACGTATTCCAATAAGGCAGACGTAGAACCCAAGGAACCGTAGTTCACTAATTCTACAACACGAAGTTTGAAGTTTGAAGTTACACATCATTACGCGGTATTTCCGGGTATGTGACCTAGGAATAATGTTCGGGCTGCACACTCCAAAATGTGTGTTGATCGTCCACCCTAACCTATTATTTAGCCTTAGGATATTGCATGAAGCTTGCTCTTAATGAGTCCTTACAAGAACTGGGGCAAAACATACGGTGCACTGCAAGAGTATCAAAAATCAGTTATGGAAATCTAATTGAAATGGTTTTGCAGCTGAATGAAGTGTAAGGCTACTGTTTTATATATCTCTGAAACCTAGGTGCACCACTACATTCGGGGAAAAATGCTCTTCGACAAAGTTTACTCTCAGGGGGCAGCAAGAAAAAATGTTTTGGCGGCTAAACACAAAAGTTTTCTGCAGTATTGTAAGTTGTTCCGACCTAACTTGAGCATAGTAGTTGAGGGGAATTGATTCAATGTACAGAGTCTACGACCTTAGGGAATTTTTGCAGTTGTATGACGAAGTTTTACGTTTCAAGTCGATTGTCGATTCTCAACCTCAAATTCCGTACGTCTCTTTAGCGATTATAATTAACACACTTTAGGCAATGTGCGGCTGAAATGTGTGACGATCCATGTTGCATTTGCTTCGATAGGGATCCTGATACTGTCCTTCCTTGTATGCATGCATTTTGTCAAATCTGCATAAACAAATGGTAAGTGCCTTATATATATATATATATATATATATATATATATATATATATATATATATATATATATATATATATATATGTATATATATATATATATATAGGAAACGGTAGTCTTTCTTGTTCTCAGGTAAAAAGTGGTAGTAACATCTAGTATGGTTTTCCACCAACATCTTGGAACTTATTTATGTTTTTGATTACATTTGCCTGGTAAAGTGCATACAATAAAGACTAGGAAACATTAGACTTCTTGAACCATGACATGCACTTAAGTTTTTGAGTGGTTCCCTACGCTGTGAATCATTTGTACGAACCCCCTGTATGCTTATTTCATAATTAAATTTTGAAAATACCGAACAAACATCAAATTCAATAGATTAAAAATTAGCTCTAGACTCAGATTTTAAAGCACCAGGCTGGAAGATTAAAAGCAATAAACGAACAGTGAGTGGGACCTCTTTTCAGCATCCTCACCGAGAAGTTATACTCGCTACCTTTTAATGGGTACTTTAAAGTTAATTGATATAGGGTTGTAAGATTTTCTCCAGTGTGCCACTCTGAATTTCCCCTTGTATAAAATGCCATCAGAAAAACCTATCAGAATTGGGATGTAGTGCGAATCAATAATGTGAGAAATATTCCTCTTCGTTCAGTCGAAATTATCACCAAGATTGTGCACATTTATAATCAGCGAAATTTTCTCAATGATTCATAGCTTTCAAGAGCTTCCTTGTAGTTGCCTTAAAATTGATTGGGGAAATCAGTGTCTTTCAGTAGTCTCAGGCACGGTGAGATTTCATGCTCCTGCGGTAATATATATATATATATATATATATATATATATATATATATATATATATATATATATATATATATACGTGCAACATGGCGCAGAGGTATGTTCATTCAAGTTATTGCACTTCACAGCATCTTAGCTAAAACTTAACCACAGTATCAATTTGAGTATTGACTTACCATCTGATTTATGCTTCTCACAATTTTACAATCATTTTCGTTTGAAGTTTTTTTCCCTTCATATAGTTCTCAGCATTAAGTGCAACACAAAGCATACGAACTTCAAAGATATCATCTTGCTGTCCAGGGTGATGTGCTGTATTGGGTCTTTTTGTTGTGCCTACACTATACACAGCAATTTTTGCCTTAAGTGTCTCTGTTGTGTCTATTCTGAAAGCGCAGTTAATTGATAAGATGGCCATAATCTTATGAACAAACTAGTAGTTGGCCAACTGAGTGTGGATGTAAAACTAGAAAAGTCAACAAAATAAGCCAATAGTAGAGTAGCCTGGGGGTTAGAAGCACTTCGGAAAATAGAAGAATTGTAAAAGGCATCGGACTGAGAGATAGTTTGTTTGAAGACAAGCTACACCTCAGTAATGTTCTTTACATAGGCATGGAGTCAACCAAACTACTGAACAAGGTCAGTGTAGGACGAGACATTACTGTGTGGTCGCCGAGGTTGCTACACCTTATATCGGTACATCAAGCAAGAAAGCGCTAAGATGAAACGTAAGGAAGACAGTGGTCTTCAGAATCCTACACCCTTCTCATATTCTCCCCCTTTAATGACCGTGCTTCATGGCCATATAGTAGAATAAAGCAAACTTCAGGGTAGTACATGCGACTCCCAGTAGACAGTCGTATATCACGGCGGCGCTATAAACAGCGCAATTTAGCAAAAGTCAACGTAGCTTTTTGTATCCTTGTAGAAATTCCGAGGGCCACTGACCCTACTAGCCGGGTAAGTGAAGTGGTCAGCGCACGCAACCATTTGATTCCCTATTGTTAGTTAGAGCACCACTGAAAACCAGTCCTGGTAGGGGAGTTTGCACTTAGTTGACGTGAAACGCATCCCAAACATTCTCAAAATGCTACTCAAGGTCTCCAGGAGACTGCATCTTTTCGGTGTCTTCGCCTAACACAACTACTTCATCTACGTATTCTATATCTACCGAGGATTCTCCTGTGGTAGGTTCAATATCTAGTCGATACACTTACTGCCACGTTTGAAGCCTGGCTAACTGACAGACAGAATCAACGCCGAACCTCACACACAGGTGCATCAGCTCAAGTTGCCACACTTCACATTCGTACGCAAAGAACAGGTGGATAGAAAAGGAGTGGAAAACGTTGTGTGAGAGAATAAACAGTCTGAAGATAAAAGCCAGTGTAAATATTCAAGCTTTAGAAGATGTCAAGGAGTGAATATATTTGTGTCATTGTGATCAATTTTCAGTCGTGTCACCAAGAGTCCTCAACCACTGTTTCGTTTCGTGGACCCCAACCAGGCAGTCTAAATCTCCACACGACTCAGACCAACAGTAAAAGACTTCATCGATTGGTACCAGATCTGACCACCCTGAACCCTCTTCCAAACTAATCCAACTTTCCCTAGCATTATGAGTCTAGGTAGGTGGTGGATGGGGATGCGTAGTACATGTCCAAGCCATCTAAGTCGATGAAGGTACACAACCTCAACAGTCAACTAGCTTGTCTTGCCTAGTGCTCTTCGTCTGACTTCAACATTGCTCTTACGAAGATTCCACTAAACGCGATCAACGCTACAAAGACTCTTGTGGTCAAAACACTGTAATTGCTTGGTGTCTTCTACTTTTAACTGCTATGTCTCACAGCCTTATAGCAGGACAAAACGGACTGCAGCGCAGCACATTCGTCTTTTCGTAGGTAGTCGGAAATCTCGCCAGTTGGCAAACGACAAGCGAGCTCTCCATATATCAGCTGAGGTTTCGTCAGCAAGAGGCCCGTTTTGGCTGATGTTGCTCCCCAAGTAAGTCAAGCGGTCGGCATATTCCACCACATCATCAGCTATCATTAAACTGGGATTACCTGCAGCAGACCAGTCTTGGATCATCATCTTACATTTGACAGGCGCTAGCGAAACAGCCAAACGTCCACAGATTCCTGCTCAACGCGTTCACATGACCCTGCATTTTGTCAGCGTCTTCACCCAGCAGGACAAGTTAACCAGATGACCTGAAGGGAGTAAGTCAATCCTTGTAAAGTCAAACTTACTTGAGGTTGTGTCCATTACTACATCTATCACGAAATTTGGTAGGAACGGTGACAATGGGCATCCCTAGCAGACCGCTGGTTGTTGTCAATTCAGATGACAACGCTTCATAAGCTTCTATATGGCTGCGTGAGTTTAAGTTGAGAGCTTTGATTAGGGTTGTATACTTGCTCACTACACCATTCAAGGTGAAACAGGGACACAACACCACACGGTCAGCAGTGTAAAATGCCGTCTTCCAGTCAGGAAATATGGCAGGTGTCGACCAATGGCCGGTAGATATGGCTGTATTTTAGAACCATTCGGAGAGTGAAAATATGATTGGTACACCCTCATTCAGGTCTGAAACCTGTCTGGTTTTTTCGAGTTTTCTGTACTCGAGCTCTAGGTAGGCATCGGATAACCATGGATGGTGAACACAATACTAGTCCAACTAATTTCCGTATGATTGTCACAGGAAGGCTTCTCTCCCTTTGTATAGACTGGAATGGTCAAAGAAATAGACTAGCCTGACGGGACTACCTCTGGTCCCCATACACTACCTAGTACCCCCGTCACTGTAATTAGCAATTTTCTACCTCCATCCTTGAAAAATTCCTGTGGCAGGCTGTCAGGTCCTGCTGCTTCGCATCGTTTCAGGTTCGATACAGCCTTCTCGACTTCAAGGATAGTTGGAGGACATCTATATGCCATTCAGGTTTAGGGTATATGTTGGACAACTAAAGCGTTCCTATGGGCCAAATTGTGTTTTAAAGTGTTCTGCCTAACGTTTCACTTGTCTGTCCTGGTAGGTTATCAGCGTTCCATCATTTTTGGTGATTTCGCTCACCATCATTTACTTCTTGCCGGTATCCTTAATAAACCGAAGTAGTTGCCAAATGTTACCCGACGTTGGTGCCTGACCAATTTACGTTAAAGTTGCTCTCGCTCTTCATCATGGTCAGATCCAGCTGGAATCAGTGTTCTCATATCAGTTAGTTTGGACTAACGTTGCAAAAATCCTATGACGTTTGATAGCTCTCGGGTGTAGGCTACCAACTAACTGTGTTTACCGCTGTTTCTACATCAGACGCCAGGTTTCGTCAAGACCTACCTTCCTAGACACCATATTCGTCAGGCAGATTCCTCTGTGGTCGTCATCTCGCCTCTCTTGGAGAGCCGGACAATCAGTGATTGAAAGCATCATATCTGACTTCCAGTTAATTTAACTGGTAACGCCCTTCAGATACCTCTGGTACTAGTGCGTCTTGCTGGTCTTGCTGTTTACGTATCTCCCTTCAGATTGCCTACAGGTTTCTCGACTTCTGTAGATGTTGGCAATCTTGTCTCGATGTTCTTTTCAGGACCCAACTGGATTGTGAGCAACACAATAGTAACTGGAGGTCAGTTGAACTGTTCCTTGAAGTGTTTCACCCGTCCTTCTAGTTGTCTCTCCTGTGAGTGGATCACAGATTCATTTTTCTCCGCCATGGTCTCACTAAGTACTGACCTTTTCAGCCCACTTTTCTTGATAAGTCTAAATAAGCGGAAAATGAAATGCACTGAGCCATCTGGTGCACATCCTTGCAGTAGGCAATTAGCCACACCTATTGTGTGAGGGCTAGTGATACTGCAGTGGGTGTTGCTGATAAGAATGGATGTGTTGAGAGGGTGGCAGAAACCATAGGAAATTAACAGCAATGGGTAAGGATTCTGCTAAGAGAAAAGCAAGGCACAACAAAGGCGTATGAAGAGCAAATCAAGAGAGAAGCAGAAGAGGAAATGAAGCACTTTTTGCAAATGACGGTTTTAGAGCAAGGTCTACCATATTTAACGACTACTGTACCACTTGTTGACAATAAACATTCCTTCCTTCGTTTTGGTCTTCTCGTTCTTAAAATACTACCTGGCTGCCCAAACCTCAGTAGGTGGGGTCGTGTTCGGACCCACGACCCATTGGTTGGTAATTTTCTTCCTAATCCACTGAGTCTCAGCTCCACAAGTCTTAATAATTGTCTGTTGCCACCTATCGCCACTTCCTTTTTTTTAATCTCAACCTTCGCTCCCCACCACTGTTGGCGGAGATTTTTGTCAGTCTACGACTGATTTGCATTCGCTCCTCATTGTGTTTGGAGCCTGCAGGAATGCATTCGCGTGCATCCACTAATTCAGAAGAAGCTGCTGAGATCTACTGGCTTTCAACCACATTTTGAGAGCCGGCTGCGGTCTTCAGGACTGATTTTATGGCAGATTGGGGATTAATTGCAGGCTTCTGAGTCAATAATTTTGTTTTCAGATTCTAAGTTTTATGATCATTAGATGCCTGAGTGGAGCTTAAGAAAACCAGACAGGCTTCAGACCTGGTCGTGGGTATATCGACCAAATAATTGCACTGCGCCAGCTTTTGGAACATAGGTACACTTACCGACATCCGAAAATAGATGTATTTCTTGACCTGAAGGTGGCATTCGACTTCATCGATCAAGAAGTCTTATATCAAAGTCTCTCACTGAAAGAGGTATCAAGTAAGTACATCACCTTATTGAAGGCTGTTTACTCGAACACCTGAGGGCGTGTCAGAACCTATAGTCAGATGTTGGGTGAGCTGTGTACGTCGATTGGTGTCCGTCAAGAATGCTCATGAACTTATTTTGGTCACCTGCAACCATGGGAATGGTGCTCTTGATATTGCTCCACTCCCTTGTGGACTAGACTTGAAGTCAAATGCTCGGGGAGTGGCTTCCTGAGCACCCAGGCAGTATCTCAGCCCTCACACAAAATATAAATTTACAGTATAAAATGAAGATTTTGAAGCAGTTAACCAACTTTCCTGCAAATACTCAAGCTCTCCTCACTATGAACTTATTCATTGCGCACTACTCAATTTAATGCTAGTATATTGTTTTTACGTATGAACTGTATATTTTTATTATTACCATTTTTGCTTTTGTCTTTATCTTCACTCAGCTGCTCTCCATTGCTTAGACTTCTAGCCTGTCTGTACCGTTTTGAGTCGCTTAACAGCTGCCTCCATAAAATTGTCCAGCATCTGAGACAGCTATCCTGAAACCACGCGTACCATGTAACCTCTCCACTTTCAACGTTCGTACTCTAATGCGGGCCCGACAACAGGCAGGTTTGACTTCGACTCTGTAAAACCTTGCTATCAATGTATGTTATATCTCAGAGACCCGCATACAGGATCCTAGTGAAGTGCTTCGAATTAGCTCCCCATCTGTCAGCTCGGAAAGTATGTTTCGTACACGCTTATCTGGGGACCCTGTGGCATCGGTATCGGACTAAGCGCTCGAGCCAAAGCTGCACTACTCGACTGTATCCCCCTCAACAGCCACCTGCGTACCGTTAGGCTAGAAGGCTCATCTCGAGTAAGAAGTAACTGACAAGAGAAATGATATTTCTTTATCATCTCTGCCTATGCCCGGATTCAACCAAGGATGAATTCTATCGCCAACTGAGTGACCTCAACCAAGTGCGGTCGCAGGTATCGTAGTGCTAGCTGGGGACTTGAATACGTAGGTTGGGCGCCTAGGTTCAGACGGGGTCGTTTAAGTGGCCAGTGGGGACTAGTCAGCCGCAGATTGAATAATAAGGATAACCTTCTGCAGCTTTACAATCCGAGTTAGATTAAAAGCTACCGATCATCTAGAAAGTGTGGACGAATGTTAGATACACTTGCAAGACGCCATGAAAATCGCGAGTAAAGCCGTTTTTGGCTTTGAAGGACGTTGTGCTGATGCATAATAGGTCTCCGCGAGCTATCTGAAACTTCTTGACGCCCGTCGGACCATTACGGCGGATAACAAGTACAGTACTCATAATTCTCTTATGCAAAAGGTTACACAGCGCTTACTCAAGGACCGTGAGGCTTCGTGCTCAGAACGTTTGAGTGAGATGGAAGAAGCAATTGCATCTGACAACAGTCGCTAGCTATTCCAGCTCATCCGAGTCACTGACAGCAAGAGGGCTGGTTTCAGTGAGACGGTCTGTGCGGTAGGTAGTACGCCGATGAACAATCTTCAAAGACGCTTGGAACACTGGGCAGAGCACTTCGTAAGGCAGTTTAGCTGACCTACGGCTCCAGCATCCTCAATTTCAGTGTATCGTGCCTCATGGTCAGTTAACACTGATCTACCTAATGAAGTGGGTGGGAGGTCCAAAAGGAACTCCAAGTTTCGAAACACCACAAGTCACTCAGCCCAGACAACCTACCCCCGGTACTTTTCAAGAATTGGGGAAAAAATCTGTTTAACTTAATCCGTACACTACTCAGTAGGTTCATTGTTTTCTTTCTGGGTGGTTTGGGCATATGTTGTGCGTACCGAGCCAGCGCCAACCTCAACGTACAGTGCTATGGAAATTTGAAAAGTCCATGGTGGCTAGACCAGGATGTGACGTCAGTGTATTAAATCTTTGACTGGTGTTCCGGGCCGAGTATGTTGGCTGGGAACCCTGAGACGGTAGGAATCGGTGGTTGAGGACTCTTGGTGACACGACTGAAAATTGATCACAATGACACAAATATATTCACTCCTTGACATCTTCTAAAGCTTGAATATTTACACTGGCTTTTATCTTCAGACTGTTTATCCTCTCACACAACGTTTTCCACTCCTTTTCTATCCACCTGTTCTCTGCGTATGAATGTGAAGTGTAGCAACTTGAACCGATGCATTTGTGTCATATATCTGTATTTAATTTGATATTTATTCGGTAGTTTGGCTTATGAAATAGTGAACGTGCATAAATTTAGATGGGTATACGCATGTGACAGTGATCAGTACAAGTCAAGTATGGCTTGGTGATTTGCACGCATTTGTGACATGTGATGGAGCGTGTGGTTGAATTGTATAATAAGAAATTTATTAACATACTGAAAGCCCTGTGTAATAACACGGGGTTGAGTGAGTGCATACAAGCACCTGTCTCCATTATTGCAAACCAGTAATAGGCTTTGACAGGGTTACCCAATTTCTCCATTCCTCTTTAACTTTGCCATCGATGGCATTCTTGAGACAGCTGTGAAGGAGGCGCGTGATGGTGGTGTAGATCTACTACCCGGAGAACAGCTATTTGATCTTGATCCTACGGATGATGTTGTCTTACTGTGCGACAACACAGGCTACTCAAATGGAACCTAATCAGTTGGCGATTGGTGTCTGTAAGTATGGAATATGCATTACACTATCATAGTACAAAGTGCTTTTGCAAGCTTGGGAGGAGTCTATGTTTGCGCTCACCCTCGATGGTGAGCTATTGGAAGCAGTCGAAAAGTTCGTGTATCTGAGTAGATGTGTGAGTGCTGGTGGTGTGAGTGATGAAATTTCTAACCGCATATCGAAAGCAAGAGTGGCATGCGCCACCACGGTGTGAGCAGTTCTGCACTACGCCTGTGAAACCTGGCCTCTCCGAGCTGAGGATGTGGGACGACTCTGTGTTCGATCATCGTTGTCTCCGTAGAATTCCTCGTACTCAGTGGCAACACCATATAAGTAATTGTGAGGTAATCCAGTGTGTTTGGATATGATATAAATTGCCATTCAATAAGTGAAGTCATCTGGAAGTATTGGCTTCGTTGGCTTGGACATGTGTTACGCATGTAGTCCCGACGTCTTGCATACCGTTCGTTGTTTGCTAGCCATGGGACTGGATGGAAGAAGCGGAGGGGTGGTCAGTGTATGACATGGCGCCGTGGAATGAAAGATAGGGTTAGCATCTGCTGGTACATCACGACTCCTTGGATGGGGTTCGAGAGATCACGCAACTCAGTGGATTGAGACATCAGATATCGCCCAGAATCCAAATCAGTGGGGGGTTGAGCTGTAGCTTCTTTCTATCTCCTGCTGTTGGAAAGTAATGAGTGCTTTGTTTTTAATGTATGTTACTGGACTACCCTTCTAATCATTCTATTCTGGCTGTGCTTTTCTTTTCATTCACTTCCCTTCGCTTTACGTCTTCAAAATAGTGTTTCATTGTTTTGTGTGGTGGATTTCTTGGTGCCGTTGTTGTCATGTTTGTGCTCTGATAATAATAATCAATATGTACCGACTGACTCCTTGTGGTTTTCTGTAAATAAGACCCTCCTTCCTTGTTGACCACAGTAAGTGGGGAGTGATGATGCCTGTAACGAAGTTACTGATAGAAAAATCAACGTAGAACCTGGCGTAAAGTGCATCAATTAAAGTTTCCACACTTCACAGTAGGCTAAACTGAAGCATCAACTGCTTTGTACATTGGATCAGGTATGCAGTAGTGTTTCAAGTTGGTGAATTTGAGATAGATTTTGTAAATGTAGGAGTACAAAGTATCACTGACTACCATCCTTAGGTATTCCAACATCAATTTAAGGATGTCCATCTTCATAATTTCCCACATAAGGCAAATATGGTTTGTTTCACTTGGCAGAGAAAGATTGTATGTATTTCAGCAAGAACGACTTACCGAAAAAGACGCTCTCTGATTCATTGTAATTCTAACTGACAGTGCCAAAAGTCTAGTGTCGCATCACAAGTATATCAATCAGTTATGAACTTTACCTATATTCTATTGTTTAGATATACTCACATGAGCGATGACTTTTCTACCGTTTATAGGGCTGGGCTTAGTTACACACTACCGTCAACAGATCACCAAATTATCAATAGAAATCCAGTTATAAATTCTAACATGTCTTCTGGTGAAGAATCAAACGCCTGTGTATCCAAAGAAACCAATCGTACTCAGTGTCCTATTTGTCGGTCTACGTATGGGAACACATCTACATCTTGGCAAATAATTGGCGGTCAGTCACCAAGAGATCATACACGTCAGATTTCAGGTATTGTTTTACGCATGATTTCGCGGACTGGTCGACCGTCCGACCCATTCTCTGAAGTTGATGATAACGGTAGTAATGATGAAGTATTTGTCTTAACTGATACTCAGAACAGCCTAACAGAGAATCTCTAATACTTTTTTGCGTATTATGCATAACTATTTACAACTTTTTACTTCAGAATAATATTTACTTTTTCGTTGACTACACAAAAGCATTACTTCACTAAACTTCAAGTACTGTTATCAAGAATGCAACTTAATTCAATTTATCCAACTCAAGTATTTGTATAAAGTAAAGGTACTGTACTTTAATATTTACAAATCAAACTGTTATAAACTTGTTTTACTCGTTGCTCCAAACAATGACACCTTAACGAACTAAGCTTTTTCAAATTTTGGAAAGGGTTTTAAATAAATAAAGCTCGTAAAGCTGTGTTTCTGCTTGGTATATCACCTAATTCTTACGTCTGTTGCTTGTGCCTACACTAATATGCACCAAAAACATATGAGTCTTTCAGAAGGGGTTTCTGCAAGTGAGTTGTTTTGGATGGGTATAGTTGATGTGAGTTGAAAGGTACTGTGTTTTCATTTTAAAACAGTATTCAACTGACTTAAACCAACTTAAGTACAAATAACTCTATGTGAATATTAACCAGATCTAATTAGGTTACAGAGACACATAAATTACCCATGAAGTCGCTTTACAGAATAGCCTATATGTATTTTATTCAATCACTGTCCAACAAATCAACTGTATCAAAAACCATATCTAATAATATAATGTAAATAAGACAGGTGACTTACTGCTTAACAGTTGTCAGAAGTCGGAATTCATTAAATGATTGTATTACTGTGAGGGGGCTATTCTCTGCCAACCTCCGTCTCTATTATATACGCACTGCAATCAGAGAGAATTGTAAGCTTCAAACCGATTGCACGTACATTTACTTGCATAGACATATTTACTCAGATCTAAACTGTTGTTCAGAAAGTATTGGGTTTGACCCGGAAATAGTTGCGTTTTATAAATGCTGTGTATCTGAAAATACTAACTGGGAATTCACGAAAAATTCAATCAAATTAGAGCTATTTTGTCAACTATGGAATCCTTGATAAGGACAACTAAGTTATTTTACGTACCACTAAAATCATAAGTTCTATTCTCACACCTCATGAGCTACCAAAATATGCGACATGCATAGTTAGACACAGTGCTTGTTAATTAAGTAGTTTTATTATCTTCAAAATCTACCAGAACAGATTAATATGAAAGGTTTGTGGATGCAAATGATTCTCGATATACTTTTCTTCCGAGTAGATTAGTTTGATTCAAGTGGTTTATTCGATTCCGATTTCTGGCAACTCTATTTCAGTAGGCAACTTGTGGATTTTTATTTCGATAAGTGAAATAGCTATTCTATGTGGATTATATTCGTGTACATCTTGGTGTGTTTGTGACTAAAATGTCTAAAATTTCTCTATGCAGTCCTGTCTGAACTTCTTAAGAGAAATAATAATCAGAAGTAAAAAAAATCAGATCCATACAAATAAGATTGAACATCGCCCGGTTAATTTACTTGTTCAATCTTATTGAGACTATTGTTATTTCGAACATAGTTAACTATCATTCAGTGTTAAATTGCATATGATGTGTGTGAGTTACTTTTCAAATAAAGTGTGAGGCTAAAGGTTGTTAGGTGTCATTAAAATAAGAATAGCATTTAGGCTCTGGTAAATTATACTCCATATTTAGTATTTTTCCTACCAGTGGTAAGATTTTGAGCAATAAGTTGTGCTCGGAAAGTTAAGTAAACTGTTTCGCCATACATATGACAGACAAATGAAGTCGAAAGGTCGAGGTCACTAGGCAGTTATATGTATACGTAAATAATGATACAACTGTGTAATGCGACTTGGTCATGTACTAGGTTTTGAGCCCCCCTTTATTATGTAAAGATTTATGATATTCGTTTACCAAGGCCAAACTGAAGCGGTATTTGAGCGTGGACCGGTTAAAAGTCCAGGACTTAGGCTAATAAGCCACATCTCAACATATAAATAATGGTGGTAATAGTAAATCAAATAGTGTGTACTGTAGTTTCTGACCGAGGTAATGAAAAGAAAACTGAAAATCGGAGTACCCGCATGCTCATTCTATTGTTTCTGTTTATTTCAAGAGGCGAGTAGCTGTACTACGTTTTGTCTGTTATAACGTTACCTATGTGTTGGAAGTGGTTAGGGAGTCATTTATATTTATTAGTAGAACCGCGATTCCTTCTAAATCAATTTGGAATCCTGTTTGGATTGAGTGTAATGCAATCACAGCTTGGTCATGCCATTTTTTAGCTTTTACTGAGGGTTTAGGAAATTGTTTCAAACACTGTCTCTTCATCCTTACATTCACTTGCTTAGAACTTTTGTGTACGTATGGCATCACAATCACAATTTATTGTGTACATGTAACTCTGTTGTCCTTCCCTTGTTGCTATGTCATTGCTTTCTATGAAAGTTGAGCTTAGTGTTTATTGCACAGGAATAAAGCTTTGCATTAACACTATTAATAAGACTTCTTATTTCCTCCACTTTCCTTTCTATATTCGGTTACCTCAGTAGTTGTATATTTTTCGGAGATAATTGTAACCTAATTCTTAACTTCCTTTTAAATAGTTTTTCTCATAAGACCTTTTAGATGGTTGTTTGCTCCAAATGTAGAACAAACTAGTTCAAACTCTTCTTTTTTATCCTTTATTGAAACAAAATGATCTTTTGAGCGGATTTCCAGTGATCGTTGCTTTTACGTGTTGCTTTCCTAAAAATATTTATCTTTAACCGATCTGTACCGTTTTAAGAATTGAATTCAGAATTAATTAATCCATATTTAGTATTCATGAGAACTAGTACTTCGTAATGAATTATGGAAAAAAAGGATTGTAATTGTAATGCGTATGTTTCAATTAGTCCCCGAAACAGTTCACACAATCTCAGTAACACACTATTAAATGGCCGTTTGTACACTAACAGTTACACTAACACATGAACTCAATTGTATTTGAATGATGACCAATGGTATAATAGTATCAGTAAAAGTCACAGAACAATAACCAGTAAGAACGCCGTTAGACCTGACTTGGACAATGGTTTACTCATACAAGCATTACGTGCCTGTGAGGATGGTGACAACTTGTCACACAATCGTTCGAGCATACTGTTCAGAAAAAACAATTTGTCAGGAAAATAATACTTTCCGATGCATTATCTGTATTACGAAAAGGTTCATTTAAGCTGTTACGTTTAACAATAAACAAGGTATCATCTAATTATATCTCAACTAGGATTCCGAAGGGATAGGACAATTTGTCGTTGCATGAACTGTAAAAACTACAGTATCTTTGAAATTCACTGAAATTTAGTCAGTTCTGGAAAATTACTCTGCAATCTGTACTTAACTTTCAGTTTGTGTCGTTTGTTTCTTGTTGAAAAAGTATTCATTTTTAAACAGAAGAAATACAATAGTATTCGCTAAAATGTGCCATTAGTCATATCAATTTCAATTCGGTGTTATGATGGAGGAAAAGTACCAGAGATATTGGAAAGAATCCTTGAAATCGGACGTCAGAGTTGATACACAAAGACCCACTTAAGTTTCATTAAGTACTCTAAGTACAAGAGAAATGAAAATTATAAATATTTGAATTTTTCCACAGTAGTAATCACAGTAAGTGTAAAGTTACTGGCTGTATTATCAAGCAAGTTGATTGTAATCTTAAGCTCATCCTGATTTCATATTTTTGGAAGCTTTTATGGCGTAAATGGCAACACTGAACAGACTATAGTTGAAAAAGGCAGCTGGCAGGAATTACAACGTCTCTATTGTCGTGAAATTATTTGTAACGAGTGTTTATTCATCTCCATATTTGTAACATTTCAGTAATTTTGTGTAAATTTCTAACATTGATAATTTTTCTCGCCTAAATATGCAACCTAAGTGTCTGTGCAATTTATTTCTACTTAATTCATCAACTGTAAACCTCCAGGACCAACCATTATTTTGTGTACACTGGGATTCAGAATTGAGTTTTTTTCTACATTCGTAAACGTTTCTAACTTGGTATTCATATCTCGAGTTATTATTATGTAGACAGCTGATTGATGGAACTTCTTAGTGAACTTTTTTTTTGAAACTGAGGTTAAATTTAATAAAGAATTGATGAGGAACTGCACTTTCAGTGTTCTGAAACTGTTTAGCACCTACACATATTTGGGAAACGAATCACCAACTTTATAACTTTACTTGGAGAATGATATGTTTGGAGTTATAAAGTTAGGTTTCAATAGTCAATAGTCTTGATTTAAGTCAGCCTAGGGTTATCGCTCAGCTTATCTTTCTATGTTGTATACTCTATCGTCTCAATGACGTGTTTATTAAGTCTTGGAATTTAGTTTCTAACGAAGACACCTTGTTGATCATCGGTTCGACTAGTCATACCGAGTATTGTTACAAGTTTCTTTCAGTTAGTGATCATATAACTTCACATAATTTCTATTGGATTTATTGTTCAGTGCAGTCAAAGTAACCTCCCTGCCCGACCAAATGAAAGAATTTGATTCAGGCTCGAGTATTAATGACAACTTTTTTGTTTGACTGTAACTGATTTGATTCATTCAATAGTGATGCATACTGGACGCTCAGTTATTTCTTGGCATTGAAATTGATGTTGTTTTTTATCCATTATGATCACATCCTCGCGGACCGAAATCCTCACTATCCAGCGCTGTAACAAAATAAATTGATCAGTAATAGAAACAGAAGATTGCAACGGAAGGCTTTTCTCTTAGCTTTACATTCGTAAACGTATTGAGGAAAAAGTGGAGTATTTTAGAGCAGTTTAAGGTGAGAATATATTATGAAGAAAAGGGGGATTGCGCAACACGTATGGAGGAGTAAAATAAGAAAATAAACGAATGATTAGGAAGTTACGTCATATGGAAATTTTATACGAGATCAGTGCTTTACACTTGACACGGCAAAAGAAGAGGTTGTATATACTTCTTTCAAACGTACAGTGGCAGTTTTTGAACTGCTAATGCTTCAGCTTATTCCTAACTCTTTTTGACAACTTGGTTACACTGCA